AAGAACCAGTTTGACGAAGGCGTTTAAGTGTATTATAAACAGCTGTTTTACTACACCCCAAATTTTTAGCAATAGTGTGACCTGATTGTCTACATTTTTTACCATAAATAATAGCACCACGGGTTTTTGGGGTAAGATCCTTCATAATTTCATAAAGCTTTAACTAAAAATGAAATAGCTAAAATATTTTATGTTCATGTTTATCATATAAATAAATAAAAAAATGTAATGTTTATATCTCATAATCATATGATAATCTGCCCAATTTTGGTAAAAAAAAATTGTCTGCATAATTTTGGTCGTTGACTGTATTTTATCGATTCAAATGATTTAATGAGTATTCGCAAAATTTAAGTCAAACGATAGGGCTTATGTGACTCAGAATGCTGAATTACTAATTGTTTGATCAAATGGAATAATTTAGTTTGTACGTAATGATGATTTAATAAGTATTCACGAAATTCAAGTCAAACGAAAAGGCTTATTTGATTCAGAATTCTGAATTACTAATTATTTGATCAAATGGAATGATTTGGATTGTACGTAATGATGATTTAATGAGTATTCGCGAAATTCAAGTCAAACGAAAGGGCTTATATGACTCAGAATACTGAATTACTTATTGTTTGATCAAATGGAATGATTTGACTTATACATAATTATAAATTAATGAATATTTTGGTAATAAAATAATTTATCTGACTTGAAATAATTATTTGCAATATTCTAACTAAATGAAACGAATATACATTATGTAATTATTATAATTAAATAAACTTTCGCGAATATTCGTTTAATAATTTTTTTAGATTAGTAATATATTAAATTGATTTTATTTTTTTTATAAATAGCATGCTTTTTCGCTTTTCTCTTTTTTTTTAAAAAATTTTTTTACAATCTTTTTAATTAATTACATTTTATTGCATTGACATCAAAAAATCAATTTTTTCATTTCATTTATTCTTTCGTTATTTCTTTTTCATTTTTTCGAAAAAAAAATTGCTATTAATCAAATACTTAATATTTTTATTCATTTATCAAAACAATTCAAAAGTATTTTCTGCTTATTATTATTTCAAAAAAATTTTTTAAATTTATCATGTATGTTGCTAAGTTGACCGATGAGGAAATTGAATGTTTGATTGAAAAAAAGAAGATTGGAAATAATGAATTTCATTACAAATATGAAAGAAATAATGAAAATTTTGGCAAAATATTGCTAATAAAATCAATAAAGAGTAAAAATCATTTTTTACCGATGATCAATGCAGACAAAAATTCAATAGTCTCGTAAAAGATTATAATGTAAGGTTTATTTTTTTTTATCTAAGAAATATAAATTTGATATTTACACATTTATAAATAATATGAAAATATCTAATAATATTAATTTTTTATCTCGTATTATAGAATCATGTAAATTATGAAAATGGCAAAAGGAATGAAAAGATGACCAGATTGGCTGAAATTTATTATGATAAATTTAAAACCAATTTTTGGAAAAATCCGGTAACTATCTCAAATAATGTAAGGATTATTTTTTTGATAATTTATTAATAAAATTCATTTTAGTCAATGCTTATAATAAGAAATGGAAATCTATCTCAAAAACGGAAAAAAATTAAGAAATTGAAAATAAATATAGATTTATTTTTAGTTTTATTGTATTTTTTCATATAATAAATTAATATATTTAATATGAATTTTCTAATA